TACATTCAGTGCAGAAACAAGAAACAAATCTTTAGTCTGCACAACCACAAGGAATCCTTTCTTTATATACAAATCTCCTTGATATTTAAAGACTGTTTACGATCTTTCATTGCTTGCACTACTTTTTACTTGTTTTAATACGTTTAATATGTTTAATACGTTTTAAATATTCATTGCGTTCAACGCGAACAAAATGAATTGTAATGAATTGCGATGAAAAGGAATTAATTATGGAAAGAAAACGACATCTTTATCCTCATTAAATGCATACGTGAATAGTCGTAAATCGTCGACCTATTTATGCCAACGAATAACTACGGCCGACTTCTAAATGTCGACGATAACGACGACCGAGTTCTAATTTCGCCAATGATAAGAACTCATCTTCCATTCTTCGATCGTACCGCCATGCTAGCAATTACGCTCAAGGATTGAAGTCAAAGCAATTTCCCGTAAACATACATTCCAACGACCGTCTTCCTCCCTAACATGATTGTGCATAAGAAATTCTTACTAAATTGTTTTGCACAAGACATAGAAATAGCTTAATCGGCCTACGTTTTGAACAACAAAATAAACAAATAATCTTGCGTCAGCCGATATTAAGTGTCGCGTAACAAAAAAATATTTAAGCGGATATCACTTTTTCTGTGATAAAATTAATATTCTGCCGCCTTCAATAATTAGTACTGCTCGATAAATGATCATCATTTGTCAGAAAAAGCTGCTATTATCATCGTTTTTATAATCTTGTTCATTTAATCCTTGAGAAAATCTTTCGTGATCGTAAGATTGTACAAATGATCGCGATAATAATAATTTATTAGAGACACCGAAGTACGACAGGTAAAGAGTTGTAAGCAGGTACAGGCCGCGCGTAATACAAATTCCCTTTATCGAGTAACGCAATGTTTCTATATGTTTTTGTATACGCTACTCGGAACGTGTCAGTAATATGACAAACCCCGCTACACTGCTCCGCCTCTTAGAAAATTTATTAACCGGCAATTGCGCACGCCATCCGCATATTCAAGACAATATAAAATATTAAATGTAGCGTGCACGTAACTAGGCGCGCATCGATACGTCGAATCGAACTATAAATTTATTTTTAACAATAGGTATTTTTGTAAATAGCGGATATAATTACTTTAGATGTATCTGCCGACGGGAGGAATACCGTCTGTCAACTTTTACATTTGAATTATGCAAATAATTGTTATTGAAAATACGACACAGTTATTTTGTTATACTATTTGACTATTTTGTTTAACTATTTTATCTATTTATGAAATTATGATCACAGTAAAATTATATTCACATTAAATTTGTGTGCTGAGAATATCTTCAATCTTTATAAATATTTTTCAATTATTAAGTAACGTCGTAATTTTAATGAGATGTCATATGTATGTTTTTACGAGATTTTCTCTCTACATATGACGTTTTATTAAAATTACGATGTTACTTAATAATTTATCGAATCGTAAACTTTTTGTTCTGAAAATTTTAAATATTTAATGTCTTCATAATATGCAATTCGAGTTTTTATACTGTTTCTAAATGTGTTGCTATTTATAAATTAAATAATCGTAAAAGATTGAATTATTTTATATCCTGTTTTCACGACAATTATTTATTTTAATTTTATTTTCCATTCATTGCACAGTCAATTAAATTAAAAGCAATTCAATAACTACATCTAAGCCAAATAATTTTCAATTAAAAGAGCGATTATATTAATATTACATAACGTTTTCTGTCAAATCATTGTTGAGAGCTTCTTCCGAAGTTATAAGATTCCCAAGATATTTAAATCGTAAATCGCATTCATATCCAGATCTAGATTTCAAACCTTCCAATATCAGAATATGGATACACAACAAAGACATTGGAAAACTGCAGCAGGTACTATGGGAAGGACACGGATTTAAACTTCGATGCGAGACCAGCAACAACCCGCGGATAAGAAAATTTTTAGAAGCCGTACCTTTTATCATGGTACATCAATGGCTAATATAAAATTATTTTTAAATTATTTAATTATTTATAAAACTGAAAGCGCTAACATCACTAATTTAGAAAACTATAAACAGCTAGGCAAACTAGGGACAGGACTAGAAGATTATTAAATAAAAACGTTGCAATTTTTATAGGGCACGATAAAGGATATTCACGCGACTGTCATTAACAATGATTTGGAGGGTCTCAAGAAGAAATTGGACGAACCTCCTATTTCGCCCATTGTTTTATGTGGCAAAGATAGCAATGGCTTGAATGCTCTGCACAAAGTAAGCTCCGTCGAAAGTTCTAAAACTTTTTTAATTACTACAAAGAAAAAAAACAAAAAATGAAAAAAATTTGTTTTCTTTATTTTTTTATTTTTCTTTTTTTTTTTTTTTTTCTTTTTCATCACAAGGCCGCCGGTTTGGGATACGTAGACATCGCGCGTGAAATTCTCAAAAGATATGCCGCAACGGTAGTGGCACAGGACAATGAAGGAAAGACTCCATTGCATTATGCAGCTGCGCTAAAAGACGATGGCGTTATGTATAATCTACTAACGGAGCACGGAGCCGATGAAAGCAAATTGGATAATGTAAGTACCGATCTATTATGTAAAAAGAGAATAAAATCGTTCAGGACCTGGCATATAATCATAAATGCTGTAAATCTTGCTATAAATCAGAGACAAAAGGCGCCCGCGTTTTACAAGAACCGTCCCTCGGACGTAGACCTGTCGAATTTGTCAGTGATACCGGAGGCACCCCGAGTCTCCGATACTTATCCGAAAAATTGGGATTGGAGAATCTTGGAGGTAGGACAGGCCGTTATGCGAGGCATGAAGAAAGTCAGCAGTGACGACAGCGCTTTTGGTAGTGCTGAATCAACGATGAAAGACTCGGACGGGTCGAATGAGAAGGTATATTTATCATCGTTGTTTAAAATTAAATTGCACAATATTCTGCTTGCCTAGACTTCGATTTCGACATATTTATTATTGTATGATACACGTTTGTATTGATCAATGATATTATATGATAGTGCACGCATTAGATCACGCGTAGCCGGACATAGAATGGCATCCCGGTCAAAACGTAGTGTCGTAGTCGCATGAGTCCGGAATGAGTAGCCAAACGGAGATTTTTTTTCCTCTTTTTTTTCTTCTTCGATATGCGGGGGCTTCCAGATCGTAATTCCAGGATAATAGTATGATGGATTACATGGAAGATTTGGTGGAACAGAGAGCCGATGACGAGCAGCAAGAGGAGGCCGAGACCCCGAATGGAGACGAGGAGGAAGCGCAGAACGGGGATGAGGATGAGGCGAACGACGGGGGAGACGAAAACGAAGCGGAAGCTGCGGAAGATAACGAGAAACAAAACGAGGAAGAGGCCACGAATGAGAATGAAAATGCCGAAGAAACGAACGAGGAGCAGGAGCAGCAGGAGGAGGGGGAGGCAGGAGCGGAAGATCCCGAGGAGAAGGCATCATCAGACGATGACGTGGTAACCGGAGCTGTCGCGGAGGCAATAGACGAGGAGGCTGGACCTGAGGCCGCCGTTAATGATGACGGGATCTACGAGGAATCCCCAAAGATAGAAGAAACCGGTGACGAGATCATCATCGATCACGAAGAGAGAAATGAACCTAGTACCGGCGATTCCGGCGTCGATGATCCCACGCAAGACGAGGAGCAGGTATTGTCTTAATCATATTGTCACGATCACTGCACTGCGCCTTGTATAATACAAAGAAGAAGCCGGGATATCTCAATCTATGTCCGTCCTGGGAATTGCGACATTATGTAACAACTATGTATCATGTAATAAGTAATTGCGTTCAATAATAATAATTTTTAAATTGAGAAAAGATATTTGCAGTTCACTTCCTTCAACAAAAACTGAGGAAAATGATTCTTATGATCCCTCAAACGAAAGCCCATTCGTGAGTTCTCGAGTTATCTAGCAAGAGTTACTAGCAGACCTTTTTTTTTTTTACGGACACCCTGTGTGCTTATACACACGTACGTAGAGTATGCGTAGGCGCGGAGAAAGACAGACGATCGATTCGCATGTAGGATTCCCACATGCGATTAATATCTCTTATCGATCGGCTACATGTCACTCAGCTACGCGCATGATTTTCTGACCTGAACATGACAGCAGGTCATCGTCGGCGAGCACAAGGAGCCCGCGGAGGTAGAATTGAACGATGGTAGTATGGCCCGCGATCCTGAAGTAGAGGATCTGTTGGGAAGCGGCAATATGGAACAATTGGCAGCTCTCGTTCTCAATGGCGAAGGCCGACGATTGGTCGGGCGACAGTCTGGAAATCCTGAACTTCAGGCTTTTATCGACAATGTTCCGTCTTACATGGTATGCTATTATTATACGTAATAATACAAGTGCGATGTACGTACACAATATATATATTATAACAGGTAAAATCGATGTAAATGTAAAAATATGTTGTTTTGTAATATTAGGGAAAAATACATGCCGTGCACATGGCAGCGCGAGAAGGAAACCTTCGCGATCTACAAAGCGCGTTGGATCGACGCAAATTCGCGGTGGCACGAGACGAATCGTCACCCCATGGCGCAACGCCATTGCACGTGGCTGTTGTCTTCGGCAATACCGCTGTCATCAGGTATTATTAACATATTTTTACATATATATTTATATATATAGATAAATATATTTAAATATTTCCCACATAATTTCCATTTCCGCGGCGTTTTGTTAATAAAATTTCATTTGTTTCTTTAATTTGATTTTAGTCGACTAATATCCATTTCTTTCAATGTAGCTTTAACTTTAACTTTGTTTAACTTTGTTTTAACTTACTTTTTATTATTTCTCTCTATTATTTCTCTTTTTATTATTTCTATTATTCCTCTTTTATTATTTCTTTCTAAGAATTGAAAAAAGATAAAGAGTAAATTATAAGCCGATTAAAAAATTAATGAAAATTATTAAAATTAATAAAATATAAAGTTATTGAAATTAATTTATCTTTATAGAAATAGATATAACTGTCTTGTTGATTTCATCATGAAAAAAATATAAGAGCTTTGTGGAGTAATGCCATAGCTGACTGTTATACTAACTAATTCCTGTCGATATTAATTCATGATTTAACCCAGCCATATCACGATAGACTTTTGTTCGAATGATAGGCTATAAATCGACGCTATTAACTCACGCCATCTCATTAAATATTTTATATCTTTAGGTATCTGGCGGGGAGATTTCCAGAAACTGTCAATGCAATCGATCTCGACGGGCGTACTCCCTTGCACTACGCCGCAACCCTCGCGGACAACGGTCATTACTATAATCTTTTGCTACATTTGGGTGCGAATCCTTTAATACAAGATAACGTGAGTGCTATTATAATATTTTATAACTATCTTATTATTATCGCAATTTCGCGATCACAAATAATTACACGATATAATTTTATGCGCTCCCACCAAATAATAGAATTTTAAATTTTCATAGAATAAAAATTAATTTATTGTCAACAAGCAACTGCGGAATTCTCAACAAATTATTTATTACTGCAAATAGAGTGTCCATAAAATTTTATCTTTTATCATATAGTTTGGACAAAAAGCGGATTATTACAAGCAAAATCAAAGCGATCTATCGCACAAAAAGCTCCTTCGCAGTTTCGGAGCTAGCGAGAGGCTCGCCGACGAAATGTTGACGGATAAAGGTATTTCTTGATTTGAGGCATTTTAGAGCACCATCGGCAATTTACAAAAAAAAAAAGAATCGCGACATGAATCGTCCGGGCACATTCTTTCGCAACATCACTCTTCATGTTTTGTGTTCGAAACCATAGTTCCGATTCAAGTTGAATTCTTGTAGATTTTCGACAACGTCACACTTGGCACGAGTATTTTATGTGTCGCGATTTCGTGAAATATCTATTGTTTTTTGTTCACATATGTAAAAACGTCGTTAATTCAATTATTTTATAATATTTAGTTTCGTTCACAATCGATTTATATCTTTTTAGACAAGCGCAAGGTCGTCCCTCAAGTACCGCGTAAGAATCCTAATCGAAATTGTTGAAAGCACAAATGTTGTTCCCTTTAATGACGTGATTTTGGATTTGGCGCTTGGCTCAATTTTTATAATAGCATGTAATCAAGTCAACACCCAACACTTCTAAGATTTATATTATAAATTCGCTATTTATACTTTTATTCCAGTTTAATATTTTATATCAAAATGCTATATAATTATTGCGAGATAAAAAAAAATCTATAAGTAAATTATTAAAGCATCGTAATAGTAATAAAATTCTTGATCTTGCAATAATTATCTTTTATAAAATTATATACTTTCAACACCAGACATCATAAACTATGAAAGATGCAAGGTAAAAACAATTTCATCTTCTCATACACTTGTTCGAATGGAATATTCCATTTCCTTCTTTCATTTTTCAACACATTTGCTCTTGGGTAACCGTAATTAATGTTACTGCGAAATTTGCTTACTCGCTTTTTCTCATCAACGCCAACGGTTGTTAACCCGGCTGTTCTTTCAATCGCCACCGCTGCTGACTCGGCTGAGATGTACAGTGCCTGGAGGTGATATCTACTCAGCCCGGCGGGACGTGAGCGAGCCTGAGATCCTGGCCACCCTGGAACGATGTTTCCGATTGCTGGCGGGCAATCGGCGACCATCGTTACCGAAGACGCCGTCGAACGCCGGTACACTAGTCGCTCGTTACCTGAAACGACCTGTATTCGATTTGATCAAGCACCGTGTGACTCGCATGGATCACAATCTCTTTGACGTGATCTGGCCTGCCCTGAAAAGGTACGGTACCATCACGGGCAACGGCAGCAAGGCCAACAGCGCCCGCTCGAACACCAGCTTTATCGCGGACGAGGACCACGGTTACGGCGCGGTCGCGCCCGACTTTGAGAGCTACGTCGTCTTCACCGAGTTCTTCGACCCCTTCATTCGGGAGCTGCACTGCGTTACCGCGAGTGGCGATCTACCGGACCATCCGGCACCGCGGTTCTTCAGTGTCGAGGCCGAGGAGGGCGAGGAGGCCCCGCCGGACGAGGCGATCGTCACCGCCATTGAACAATACGATCTGGATCCGACCACCAAATTCATCCAAGCTGGTATTGTCGAGTGCACCCGAAATCTGGCCAACTACAGCTTGCCGTTGACGTTGACGGTGAATCAGTTAGAGGAGGTCGAGAGAGAGATCACCAATCAACTGATGAGCCCGGAGATAACCGATCTGATGGCGGAGGGCAGCAGCGAGGACGAGGCCGGCACGTATTTCACTCTCAACGAGATTCTCGATCAACCCAGTCGAATACGGGCGCAGCTGGCAGCGGCTGGGCTATTATTGCCGATCACGGAGTTTGAGCCGAACGACGACCGGCGTCTTCACGGCAAGCACTGGCCCTACGGGCGCGGCGTATACGTCACCACCGCCGGCGATCTCGCCGCGTGGGTGAACATTCAGGATCACCTGAGAATCATCTGTCGCACCAAAGAAAATCGGCCGGGCCTGGTGGGCCGCGCTTACGTCAGAGTAGCCAAACTGATGATGATATTCGATCAGAGGCTGAAATTCAAACGGGACGACAAGCTAGGTTTCTTGACCGCCCGTCCGCAGGCTCTCGGCAACACTCTGAGATTCTGCCTGATCATACGGTTCCCCGAACTCTCGAAGACACCGGACAATTTGCGGCACTTATGCGTGGTACGCGGCCTGAACGTGCGCGACACCATGAAGAGCGACATGGTGAGGATCAGCAATCAACAATCGCTGGCCATCACCGAGCTGCAGACCCTCCAGGACTTCTCTAGAGCGGTGCACAATATCATCACGCTGGAGAAGGAATTGTCGTTAAACAATTCGATGAAGATCGCCAATCTTATCACCGGTATATTCCGCAAGCGGGCGAACGCATCGAGGAATCTCAAGGCGTAGAGGAATCGATGGTCACGACTACGAGAGACAATAACATTAGATTTTTAAGCTCTTAAAGACGATCCGGAATTCAATTATTTTCTGTCTGCTTCGTGAACAAAACCAACAAGCAAATCACATTCAGCAAGACAATTAAACAAGAGTTGTCGAAAATAATTTTTATAAAATGGATGCATTTTAAATAATTTATCGAAGAAATTGTTAATTTTAAAGAATCTTGCGTGACAAAAACTACTCAGACATATTTAAATATCAGAAACATCGAAATGTTTGATTCACGTTCAAAAATATTCTTATTCGACATAATAAAATCATGACGTTAATTTTTAATTATGATACCAAGACTATTGGACTTGTTGTAATTTTAGCGCAAATTGATTTATTATACGATTGATCGTCGATCGCCTTTGAAACTCTCCGTTCTTTCTCTTTTCTTAGTCTTTCTATAAAAAAAAAAACTTACGCTTATTCATGGAAATCTTCTGTGATAATTATCAGCCAACGTTTGATCGTCAATTACGAATTATTCTCTTCACAGACTGAACTTTTTAAATAACATTTAGACTATAGCGAGCGAGAGAGAGAGAGAGAAATAGAGAGAAAGAGAAATGCGTTGGAAAGATGTGTGAACATTATTTTATTTTCTCTCGTGCATCCGGCGTCTCTCTTACGAAATTATGCTAAATCATAATCATAGTCGCTCTATTAATTGGATTAACCGGCAACGAGAAGGATTGTTAATTAGGTTAGTAAATGATCAGCATTATATTGCTATATATACGGCACCATTGTCGCACACAATGTCTCACTTACAATCGTGCCTTGTAAATCTTTGTTTTCTCGAGATAATTTGGAAAATTGTAAAAATTATTTTTGTATAATATAATATTACTTATACGAGCAACGATTTTACATGATGTAGTAAATGGGCAAATGAATTTACATGAATTCTCTTTAATAGTTAAATAAATTGTTAAAATAAACGCAACTTCTAAAATATACTTATATCGATTAACGAAATAATTGTAATTATTTTACAATTGTAAGAAGTATAGGATGTATTCGTTTTTTTTGTGTATATATATATATATATATATATATATATATATATATTCTGGCATTTTCATATTTATAATTTTAAGCATGATAATAATTCAATGAAATAATTTCATGTAAAGTCGAATATATTAAAATTTTGGAGAATATACTGATGGCACAACAACCTTTAAAAATGTTAAAGTCTTTTTAATAGCTTCTTTTATATGTGATGCACGAGTCAATGTTCACACAAAATAAAGATGCCGAAGCACACGTCTTTCCAATGTTATTATTCGTCCTTAATGGGACCTATGTATCCTTCTTTTACTCTTATTTTAGGTATCGTAAATTTATAAACTAATAAATTTGTTAATTAAACGATAAGCCAATAGACGTCTAAATGTCAAATTGTATATTTTATATCCTTTAATAATAATTATGTGTATAATGTAACTTACGTAATAAGTATATATTATAGAAGAGCATTAAAAATTAAAATCCTATGGAATGGGAAATTGACTGGAAATTGAGTAGAAAATTATTTTTATTATTAAAAAAGAATAAAGAAATGACATTTAAACGTCTATTGACTGAGAATTGCGTGTGAATTATTCATCATGTTAATCACCAATGCACTTTTTCAGGCAAATTGATCGTACTTTATTATATAATTATGTTTATCTATGATCTTGCACTTTGGATTTAAGCTTGTAAATAAATTAATTACATGTTGCATCACGTTTTATCGAGTTGTTGTGCTGCACTGAGTTTTACAAAATATCTTTAAAGATAAGGCTGGAAACTATTATTGCATCGATATAATAAACTTCTAAATTATACAAAGTAAAAAAGAAAAAAGATCTATTTACATTTTGTCTAATTTCATTATAATTTAATTTAAATCGAAATGCAATAATTATTTTCAATAAAAAAAATTATTGTAAATATTAAAACGACGAAAATAATGTGCATACTAATTTAATTGAATGTAAAACTTGATTTTATTCAACTGACATGTTTGATATATCAAGTTCATCATCAAGTTAAAAAACATGCACACAATAACATGCTTTTTAAATTATTACCCAACAATCTAATGAATTTATCTTACAGATGACAGCGAAGTCGACATTCCAATATTTCGCACAGAGGAAGGTCATTATTTAGCATCGTGTAAATATCTCGTAATATATTCATCATATTTTTATAAAAATCAATATAATAAAACGATTTATTTTTCAGCATTGGGTGATCCTTTAATTAAAGGATTAACGGAAGTTGCTAATGCACGTCCAAAGGATCCCATCACATATCTCGCGACATATCTATACAATTTTGCTAGCAAGAACAAAGCCAATGAACAAGTATGTAAATAATAAATAATAAATTTAAATGATAAATAAATTAAATGTCTTCGAATACTAAACTATTAATATTAATTGCTTCGCGCTAATGTTTTTATTCTAATTTTAGGAATCCGATGTTCTCATTATACCCGATCGCGAAGAGGAAAATTTGGATAATGCCGAAAACAACACGTTCGATGATGACGCCGGCTATCCTCGAAGTCCAGATTCGGATATACCTGAATCCACATTTAGCAATCCTAATAGGGTACGTGAATACAAATAAATAATTCTTGATATATGAATAAAAGAATATCTCACGTACATAGCGAATAAAAATAACATTTCTCAGGATGAACATGGGCAAAGCATGATTCATTTCGCGGCGGTGCGTTCCTATTCGAAGGACGGATTATATCACCTATTATTGGAGACGCAGGTCAACGTCGGATTCAGGGATGAACTATATCGAACAGCCAGAGATGTAGCCGAACAGGCTAATATTCGAGAGAACGTCAATGAGATCGACCGTTTCGTTGTTTATCTTGCGGCAAGAGGTATAAAAAACGAGAAATATAAGGATGATTCATTTTAATCTTAACAGACAAATATTTCGAAAAATATGGAAAATATGGAAAAATGTTTCAGACAAAAGTTTGGTGATTTTGAGGGGAATATAAAATGATACTATTGGTTTGAATAGTCGTTTGAAAGTCACATAAAGGAATAATGAGATAAATTAATTGGTGTAAAGAAGAAAAATGGAAATTTACAATATGCAATGACGTATCTTTTTTGAAAAACAATTATATATTTTCTTTACACCAATTGATTCACCTTTTTCTATGCATAAAAATATTAAGATATAGTTGCCAAAAAATGAATACGAGATATTTTATATTATATGTCAAATTGTATATCAAATTGAAGCCTCCTAACTCAGAAAATCTTATTGAAAAACTTTATTATAGTGTTTTAAAAAGTTCTCAAGGTTAATTAGAAGAATATGTAGTCAAAAATAGTGATTTCCATTTAAAAAAACAAAGATCTCCATATGACTTCAATACGTACATCTAATGTTAAATCAACGATCACTATCTTATGTCCTCCTTGAAGTCAAGAAGTAAAATTTTTGTATGAAATATTTTTCAATACAAGTCTTAATTTTCTAAATATTTGGTTGTTAAGATTAAAATAAATCACTCTGTACATAGCCATTTTTTCATGCAAAAATTATAAAAATCTAATGATCTCGATATGTAGGAGAGACTGAAAAGTTGGTCGAACTTCTGCTTGAGGGTTACGATCACATTCTGGACGCCGAAGATGACGGAATGAACATCATCGATGTGGCCGCACAAAGAGAACACGAAGCTACCGTGCAGTTTTTACAATCAATTCCCAATTATGTGGTAAGTTGATGGAATAATTAGAGAGAAATAAGAAATTTTTATATATTATTATTTTGAGTTTTACGATTTTTAATATAATCGTACAATGTGTATTTCAGAATCAACGCGAGGAGGTACATGCTGCCATTCGAGTCGGTGACAAGGAACGTGTGAAGGAACTTTTGAATAAAAATAACGGAGGTGGAAAATTATTGGCAGTTGGGAAGAACTCGATCGGCCGATGCTCCCTGCACATCGCCGTGCTTCTAGAAGACGAAGAGCTTGTCAAGTTTATCGCAAAAATGTATCCGGAGACATTACGCATCGGCGATAATGTATATATGAAATAAAATGCAACGATTCTAAATTTAGAATAAGCGATCATAGATAATTTTATCATGAAAAATAAATCACTAGTCAATTAAAATAAAAAATATTATTAAATACAAATTATTAGCATTAATTAAAATAGTGAATATTTATTTGCAGATAAGATCATAATTAAAAATAAAATTACATTCAAAATACATAAAACATTAATTTATTTCAGTTGGAGAGAACAGGTCTTCATTATGCAATGGGCGTACCGTCTGTGGAAGTGATGAGTAATATATTGATCAAAGCAGGAGCGAAACGCATCGTCAAAGACCTGGTAAGCTACATATATATTTTTATTGAATAACAAGGCAGAGATTCGTGATCAATCATTTTCGTGATTTTCAGAAATCACGGCAGCCCTCGTATTACTTCATGAATAAATCTGATATTGAGCGACTTCAAGAAGAAGAAAAATCCATGATCCATGATATGTAAACCATAATGTTAAATACTTGCACACACCGGCCATAATAACATAATCACACGTTAATATGTCATGCGTTCCATTGAAATGTATTGAGAAACTATGGTCGACGAGAAAAAAGAAACCAATATAAATGCAAATAGAGATAATCTTCATACTATGTATCGATTGTTTATGATATCGATTGTAAAATAAGTATATTTCGAAGATTTTTAAGCTCTTTCTATGTCTTAAGAATATACGTATTCTATTTTGTTTTATTTGTACATACACTAGAATATTTCGTGAAAAAATTTCGTTGCCAAGATTTGAGTATTATCCTCGCTGGCTCCTGTGAGAGGGGTTTAAGTATTAGTACGATATATTATTGAAAGAATAAATTATATAAATTCATAAATTATATGAGCTATGTCAAATGTCGACAGTTTAGTGCCTTATGATAAATGTAACGAGACTGTACAACATACACGTAGTATCGTCATTTCGCTTCATAATGTGTAGAAAGTGTACTTTGATAAAAAAAATATGAAAAGGGGATTTAGGATTTAATGGCATTTAATGACTTTGCAACCCCAGATTTATTCCGCTATTTATTATAATTTAGTTCAATACTTAACAATCTTAAATTAAGTTGTGCTTGTTCGACGTATTATCTAAGGTAAATTGAGATCAAAAAAGGTTTAGCGCTCCTGTACGAAATTCTTAGCGTTGGTCTCAGTAGCATTGTTTTGCCGCGTGATCATAAGATATTCCTCAGTGATTTCCTCGGGTTGAATCTTATTAAAATACGTCTCTCGCTCTTTGTATACATAATAAGTATCATCAAAATTAAAATGTAATCCGAGAATTATATTTAATGCAGAGGTGTCATATGCATGACAACCAGAGTATCGATACTGTGGTTTTTTATTGAACCT